GACACAAACACACACACATACACTCATATGCACAAACTCACAAGAGGGGATGTGCAGAGAATGTAGAAAACCATAAGGAGAATCTCAACCTTCGAAAAGAACAACCTGCCTCAACTTGGGGGGGAGTGAACTCTGGCTTGTTGTATTTCATGCCATCCCATCAGCGATGGCCTCTCCGTGCCCTCAGCCCATTCAGAACCTCAGCAACTGGCCTCACAGCCCAGAGGTGCCTGCTGGAGTCCCCAATCCATCCCTTTCACTTTGTTAAGGGGATTTGAACCAGGGGATGCAAAGACAATGCACAATGGACCCTCCTCCACCACTGATGATCCAGTTATGAACAGAGAGGAATATGGGTGAAGAGGGTGATGAGATAGAAAAAAGGGTGGGAGGTGGAGAGGAGGGTGGACGTGCAGGCATTTAGTTTGTGGAAAGAGGGGTGGTGGCAAAAGGTGTGGGGTGCATGCTAATCGGTTCCTCTCTTTACTGCTAAAGAAGTACTAGATAGTTTGACAAAGGCCCTGCAGATGGACACAGCTGGCCCTCAGTTACCCCAGAAGAAATGCGCTGTTATGAAAACGACATTCTTCCCCACAAAGCCCCTGTGTTCTCATGGTTACGCATGGCTCCATGTCCGACGGAGACCCTTGTACACTATCTCACACTCTTGCCCATGCTCACTTGGTCAACTGTCTTGTCTTGATCATTCAGCTCTTTCTGTGTCTGTTTTCATCCTATTACAGTGACTCCATATTTCTGTCTAAGAGGATGTTCGCATACCTTCCGTCCTACTCAGTGAATTTCGGGAAATGCAAAGCCCCCAACAAGTGATTCACATTGAAACCAATGTTCTGCACTTGTTGGTTGTCAAAGGCTTTTGTTATTTAGTTTTTCTAACGATCATACGGATTTGTACATTTGCTAGCATAGCCACAAAACAGTAGACCCTTATTCTTTGTGTAAAAGCACTGTGCTGTGCAGAGCATGATTGACTCATGGGTTACAGTTGAGGGTGAGACAAAGATGGGAATGAGAAGGGCTTGCAGCAAAACATCTTTGGTTGAGTTTCAGTAAATGACGTCTCTTGAGAACAGTATCCAAGGACAGACCTGTTTCCACAGTCTGAGACTCATTTAAACCGATTAGATTTGGGTCCAGTGGTTGGCAGAGGTCTGAGGTTTTTTGAGACTGTTAGTCTCCCCAGGGGAGCGCTGGAGATTTGTTGGGGTGCAGAGGAAGAGATTTAATGTCCCTTCAAATTAACGTCCATAAATCTGCTTAAAAGTCAAAGAAAGGGACATCCTTATCACAGTTTAGCTTTTCTTAGAATCATTACATCCTTAGGTCTGTTTCAGAATCAAAGTAATCCAGAGATGGTTGTTTTACCATCCATAGGTCCAATAAAACCCTGCTAGAGACTCATTATGAAGTTTGAATTGTCTCAAGGCTGCAGACATTAGTGTTCTGTTAATTGTGTTTGACCCAGTGTGAAACATGGTGGTGTAAGTGGTTCAACACTCAAAACGAAATGTAACAGTAGATAAATGGATTTACACTTATGTTACAGAAGAAAATTCTAAGTTAACTTACAAGTATTTTAACTACAAAGAGTTTTTTTGCACTTTTGTTATGAGTTTTAACCAAACATGGGAATTCACCTGATCTCAAATGATCATAACACTTCAAATATGTTTAATTCCTATAAATTATTTTACACGTAAAATGTTAATTTGCACATCTGTAATGTAAATAGAGTTTTCTAGAAAACAAATAATCATATTCACTCTGAACTGCATTAAGGTTGTATTTTAGATCTTTAGTCTTGCTCCAACAGAACAGCAGCGTGAACTCGGTCAGTTGTTTAGCCTGAACTATTTTTAGTGGGCATGAACTGTCTTGAAATCTGACCTCGGTTTAAGGCCTCTAGGTCAGTAGGCTGTCTGTGTTTCAGGCTTTGAACAGTCATAACAAGAAAAGGGCAGATACTTTAAAAGATATTGCTACAATTGGATGTCAATAGTTTGATTGTTAATCATTTTTTTTACCAACTTTTCAAAAAGTATCCTGTTGCAGCTTCTCTGTGGGGATTGCAGGTTGAATATCTTGAGGGTTTTAACATTATTTAGACCAATTGATTAAACTATGAATCAAGATGATCATCAGCAGATTAATCAGTTAATACATTATTGTTTGTTTCAGCACTGGTGTTGATATCAACGAACTCCAATTATTATTATTATTTGAATGCAAAGCCTTTCAGTAAGGATGTCACATGTCAGAATATACTTCAACAATAACGTCATTTTGCCAGGAAGTTTAGTGAATCTATTGCCTATGATGCATCTTGTATTTCAAACAGATTAGCAACTCTGCAAGTTGATTTTCATAGGTCAATAGATAAACGGAAACCAGTGGCTGTCTGGAAGATAGAAAATCAATTTTAAAATGTCAGGTTTGCTTTTGAAAATGGTCTGTAATGACGTTAACTTAATTGGATTTGTAGTTAATGGTCTACAACATACAATACCACCTTTGTAGTCTCTTGAATAGAGTTATATAGCTGTGAGTCACACACCAGAGGGGAGTGCTGTAATATGAGTTCAGGTGCGGTGGTGAAGAGGGGAAAGGGTCCATGTGTGTGTTTGTGTGAGCATGTTGGAGTTAAAGGAGGGGGGGGGTCTCCTTGCACATGTGTGTGTTTAGAGAGCTGGTGTTGACACAGACACAGCCGCTCCATTGTCCTTCTCCATCTCTAGTCAGGATGTTTGAGGGACGCCTCATCGCTTGGCTCCTTCTAATCGCAGCTGGAACCAAAAAGCGTGCGGCTGGAAGCCCTCAACCCTCGAGGTCACTGTCAGCACCGGGACAAGAGAGGAGAGGACAAGAGAGGAGAGGAGAGGCACAGGACAGGGGAAGGTTACTGTCAAAAATTATGGCGCAGTCAATTACAGATTGTTCATGAGCTGCTTCAAAATTGCAGGCTGTAAAATAACCCACGGGATTACACTAAATCCGCCAAGTAATCCTCTGATTTAATAGCTTTTGATTAAGTTTTGTCTTTTTAATATAAAGTTCACATTTTTATAATAAGATATAAACGAAGTTCGATTAGCAAGTTTGAGAACTTTAGGAAATCATCAAACACCCTTATCTGCCATCACCTTTCTTTCCATTTAAATGTTTCTTCCTCACTGTCTTATCTTGGATGGGATCGGGTTCATTTTTTGACAAATTACAGCTGTAATTTAAATAATCAAATGTACTGTATCGGCACATGATATGTATCCTGTTACCCTGGCAGCAAGGTAAACACAACTGTAAAACACAAAGGGGCCCTTCAGGCACCCCAGAAATTCAATCCACATCGATGAGCCTGAGAAATGAAATGGTAATGGTACCAGAGAGCTTTGATAAAAAAACATTTTGCAGCAACGTTTGAGGTTTTGGCCCTGAATCTCTGAATCTGTTTTAGTCAATGCAGACACAGTGACAGTCAGCATCTGGCATTTGGGCATGGCATGCATCTCAGTGACCCAAAGGTGACCTCCTTTTCTTTTCTCTTTTCATGGATTAATATTGCATGAAAAAGTGTTTTTTTAATGGGTTCTTAAAGAAGGAGATTTTTTCAAAGCAAAATATTATAAAGCAAAATATTATAAAGCAAAAACTGCTTTTTGAAAGGAGTCCGAATTCCTCATTAGGAATGGATATTCACCAATTTATAAATTAAGACAATAGGTTAGTTTTATTGCAATATTGAATGTATGGTCATCTACATATATGTTTTAGATAGTCATATCAATTGCATATTTCATTTTGTACTTCATCAATTGTTGCATACTTAATTGTCAGTGTAGAAATGGAAGGAAGGAGTACTGACGAAAAACAAAGCAAACATTGTACGGAGATTTTGCCTGTGGCTTTAACGGAGAAGCGTCTCTGTTTTCTTAATTTCCACTGCTCTCAAAGATTAATTATTCAATGTAAGCGTTGTGGCTGATAATGTACAGTAGACTGTGTTTTATCTTCGAGGAGATGGCGGTGGCCCCCAGGAAAGCGATATAAGTGGATTCATTTCAAGATGCCTGTTCCTCCAAAGACTTTATTAGATTTAGTTAATGAGAGAGCAAGGCAGGCAGACTGGCTGGGCGCAGGTTGGGGAGCTGGAACGTAATTAAGCTGTGAGTCTGACGATGCCACTGTTACACACTTTGATTAAAAACACGTTCAACAGCTAATCTCCAACAAATTAAAGCAGTTACATAATTTGGCACGGTCACCTTTGTTTCTCAAACGAGGTAAATCCCCTTTCTTACTGTATTTTCGGCTCACACCTTCTGCCCCACAACAGCACCCTCCCTCTCCCTGTCTGCACCCTAATTCTCCACGGTAAGTAGGTGTAGCTTCACGCCGGGTCCAGCCGGTCCGTCTGTCTGAGATGTAGTTAACCCTTGTGGGCTTTATGTCTTCCATATGCCCTGCTGGGGCCTATATGGCAGAACGCTGTAATACAGGAGAAGTCTGTATGTTTCCAGGCCAGCACACACAAGTCTTCTTGTCTGAGCTATAATGAGTGTTAGTGTAGATTTCCTGTGGCTCAAACACTAGGCTTAATTGACCTGAACAGCTCTGAGTGACTTGGCACCTCCCGTCTCAACCTTCCCCTCCTCCCCCACTCCCCCCCCCCTCAAGACCTTTCTCTGGGACAAAGAGGCTTTTGTCCTGGGGCCTGCGCCACCGCGCTCTAAACCTTTGTTGACTGTTTCTGTCTGACAGAGCAAATAGCTCTGGCCTCCTTTTGTTTATTGTCATTTTTTGAAGTTTGAACAAAGTTTATACAAAGCCCCTATTTCTGACGTTGTTCGCTGCCTTCAGGGGGAAACATGGAAGAAGAGAAATGGGTTTATTGTTTGTTGCATTTTTTGACTGTCTGCTGCTGTCTGACTGTTATCTTCTCATCTCTCTCCCTCCTTCTCCTGCCCTACCTCACTCACTCGCAGGGATCACATATACACGGTGGACACAGACGCTGCCAACAGTGATGAGATCTTTTTCAGCAAGGTGAGTGAGACGTCTGCCTCTGAGGACTTGTTTTTCTCAGTGTGTCGTGGTTGACAACGTAACCCTAATAACCTGGATCTGGAGTGCCACACTTTGTTTTTGTTTGCACGTGGGTGTGTATGTGTGTCTGCCAGAAGACTTATCCTCTCTTATACTCACCCACTCACCGGAGCCGTGCTGGCAATTCTGACCCTGATAAGAAGATTATTCAATCAATCAGCTCACAAACCTCTTGCGTCATCCACGCTCCTCATTGGGACAGTGGAAGGTCTGATGGGCGTGTAACGCAAGCTGAAAGGAAGTGAGGGAGGAGGGGAGGAACGTGAGGGTAAAAGGACAAAAAAGGGCAGGATGAGATTAATTGCAGTAGGGCGAGAAAGACAATATGGATGCAGAGAGGAAGTTGATCACATTGTATATATTCAGATTATTCATAAAGCGCTTCATATTTACATAGACCCTCGAATGTAATAGCCCCTCTCCATTCCATCCCAACCACTTCTCACTGCCATCATTTACCCTTAACATAATGTATGCAAACAGGATTCAAACAAGGCTATTCTAGTGTATACAAAAACCCGCTATCCCTCCACCTCATTCACTTCAATGTCAAAGCCCGCAGAGTGGGTCTTAATGAGAGCAGGCTGCACATGAAAGGCCAATGGGAAACGTGCAGATTGATTGACGACCGAGGGTCTTTAATCAGTGGCCGAGCCCCCAACATGTTGTTCAACAGCGGCGGGTAGGCAGCGGTCTGAACCATCGGATCAGTGCTGACCACTGGCTACTCAGGGGGGGGGAGTAGTGAATGTGTGTGTCTGTTTGCATATGTGGTTGGATACGATATATAACTTAGCATTGAATGATAAGTGTGTGTGACAGTGAAAGAGCTATTTGGATTTTGTAGTTAACTGGCGCCTTCTTGCTGGCGCTGACCTACAAGCCAAGGCCAAGGCTGTGTGTTTGTGTGTGTGTGTGTGTGTGTGTGTGTGTGTGTGTGTGTGTGTGTGTGTGCGCGCATGTGTGTGTGGACAAGGATAGACAGCCTATCAATCAACATAAATGAGCTCTGAGGCGGGATCTGTCCTTCTCATCCAGGGTCAGCATTGTATTTCCTCCACCCTGACAGAGAATTAGAAGTTCAAGGAGGTAAGCTGATCTCCAATCAGCGCTTAGAATAAAGTTCACCCCAGAGCAGATGGCTCATTAGGGAAATCAATGATAGAGAATTTCAGATGATGATTATTGATCACAGTATAGATTGGTTATTGAGCTCTGTAATGTCTTTTTTCTTGTTTGCTTTCTCCTTATCTCTTTCTCTCCTTCCTTATATCTTTCTTTTCTCTAGAAAATGACATGGAAGTCCAGACAGGCTGATGTGGACACTTGCAGAATGAAAGGGAAACACAAGGTAAAGTAAAAACGAACAAACATTGCAACCTCTGTGCTTTCACCCCTCAACTTCATTTATAGAACAAGTGTCACCGTATTCATCTCCAAACACTTCTTTAAAGAATCACACATTATGTGATGCACACTGTAACAGATGTTATTTCTCACAGTCCCTCTGTTTCTCTTTCGTTAACCGATACCGAGACCCTGCAGGTGCAATGACGCTATTAATGCAGTTCATATAACAATGTATATCAGTGAGAATCTTCACATCATTGCAGTTTAATTGTTTTCCCTCTAGAGTTATTGTACCTTGTAACAAAGCTGTGAAAATCAATTATGAATTGATAAATGTACCATGAAGAAATGCTTTATTTGATCATAATACACTTGATGTTTGTTACACATTCCTCTCACTCGTCTGTAGAGTAGTGCATGCTGTAATTCGAAAGAAGGAAAGAAAGTAAAGAAAGTGCCTCTTGTTTCAAAAACCACATGTGGTCTTTTGTGTTAATGTGTCTATGTGAAACTAATGTGCGGACGTCCTGTCTTCTCTCTCTCTCTCTCTCTCTCTCTCTCTCTCTCTCTCTCTCTCTCTCTCTCTCTCTCTCTCTCTCCCTTCTGGCCTGCGCTCCCTGAAGGACGAGTGTCACAATTTCATCAAAGTCCTCCTGCAGCAAAATGAAGACACCTTGTTTGTTTGTGGAACTAATGCTTTCAACCCGTCCTGCCGAACCTACAAGGTAAGAATGAACATGCATTTACACACAAACACACATACAGAGATATGAACAGCTTTCTGGTGCTATTTCCCCTTTTTTGACCTCCATGACGGCACTTGTCATCAATACTTCCCTCACACTTCTCCTTCTCTTATTTCACACTCTTACTCACACCCTCAGGGATATTTTCCACATGCAACCCCAACCAAGCAGGAGCTACGGGGGGTGGTTGAGCTATGAAGCGATGGACATAGATGGATGACTTTAACAACTCAGCAGGCCCTCCTCCTATGTCTTTATCTCCAGGTGTACTTTGACACGCTCGATTTAGAAGCAGAGAATCCTAACTACCTTCGTGCATACACACTCACTCATTCTCAGACACACACACACACACTCTGAAGGCAAAGTCACGAAACCTGACTCAACCTTAAACAGACGCTTGCCTGGCCATATTCATGAAGGCATGTCTGGAATAGTTTCAAGATTCCTTCAAGAAAAGCAAAAACATCTCGTCGAGAAGAGTTTTAATGACCTCCGGTCAAGAAAAAAGAGCAGCTGTCATGATTGTCTTGGAAAAAATAGAGACGTCAAGAAAAGATAGACTTGGAGAGAAAAGAAAGGATTGTCATACAGATAAAACGGGTAAATAAAAATGTATACAAACATTATAAATATTTTAAGGCAAACGGGCAAACACAAGGACAAACATAAAAGCAGGCCGGCTGTCTTTATACAGCTGCTGAACATTTCCCATTTATTTCCTTTAATGTGTGTTTGATGGGGACAAACACAATATACACAGAGAACTGCACAATTAAACAATGCAATGAACCAATTTATAGCAATAAATTCCAATGCCCATTCCTAGAATGACCTTCTTATAAAACAAACCAAAACATCTTGACTGAATATACAGGTTTACATTTCTGTTGACACAAGTATGTCTTGCTGGCCTATAGCTTACATACAGACACATGAACATATATTATTTATAGTACATAAACCCCACCATCCCCCCATTCCAAATGACTACTCGGTTGTTTGGACTTTACATGTGTTTTAAATCTGAGTTTTTCTGATGTGAAAAATGACCAAAATGTCCTATGCATCGATTTAGCCTTAGCTAATACATGAGACACGTTTGAATACTTCTGCAAACTGCAGCAGCAGGACTGACCTGGTGAAAAAAATACCACTGAAAATAAATAGCTTTGTTTAATTGTTAACTACCTAAATTGTATGAGATTTAAAGGCACAAAGTGGTTTTTATCATCATTTGTATTTCATTCAAGTATCCGGAGTGGTCCAACTGTAGAGTAGCTGGGAGCTGTCTTCCAGAGGAATCAGATATGAACATCGTACAGGCATGAAAGAAGATCAGACAGACAATAGGAAAGACAGGAGGACAATTAAACAGCGGAGACTCTGTCCTGAAGGATGTTACTGTTGGTTTGAGAAGATCTGATGTAATGGTCACAGCACACTGAGATGTTATCTAGGTAGCCTGTGGGGGAAACTCTTCTGCTTTGGTTCACTAGATCTGTTTACCAGAGAAACAAGACACCTTCGCTCCGTTGCCTTTGTGGTTCGGCATGCTAAGCACAGAGAGTGGACATCATTCAATTCACTGGCTTTCCCTGCAGGGAGAGTGGAATTTATGTCTCAGCATTTATCAGGCGTGGTTAGCTTTAACAGCCCCTCTAGTTATGGCTTCAAGGTTTGTGTTTTAGCTGCTACTGAGATGATATTGCTGCGAGTGAGTTTGAGATCAAGGGAAGTGTTGTAAAACACACCGAGGCTTGAAAAATAGTCATGCAAACACACATTTGCTGGCCTCTAAAAACATAAAATCAATGCATGCTGTTCATAAATTACTGCACATAATGGGTAATGTTTATGTAATCGGAAAATGTTGAAATTATTTAAACATTTTATGATAAGTGACACATTGATCCATAATAATTTGGCAAAATAAAGCTGTTTCATTCAAATGTTCTGATACCACTGAATACACTGTGTATATACTGTATAGGATATACAAAATTGCCATTTAATTCTCGAAATAATTTAATCAATATGCCATGACTAATATAAGACTAATTGTGATGACTTTAAAATGAGTCATCAAAACTTTCAAAATGTTGTAATACAAATCACCTCTGATCACTTGCACACAAACACCCAAATGCACATAAAAAATGCCGTGGCACATGTGCAGGTAAGGAAAAACAGAAGTGTGTATGCACCCATACGAACACTGACAACTGTTCAAACAAGCAGAGATACAACACACACATTTTACAAAATCATCACAGAGACACATTCTACTGCGGGTAAGCTGGCAGGCTCTCTGGGCAGATACCAGGCGTTTGATGGCATACTGGGCTCATCCACTCTGCCTGGTCAAAAGTGTGTGTGTGTGTGTGTGTGTGTGTGTGTGTGTGTGTGTGTGTGTGTGTGTGTGTGTGTGTGTGTGTGTGTGTGTGTGTGTGTGTGTGCGTGTGCGTGTGCGTGTGCGTGTATGTGTTTGTTTGTGGTTAAATCCACCTTGGCCACAGTTTGCCTCTCCATCTCCCTGGTGTGACAGCGCTGAAAAGAGCTTCTGTTTCGGGGCCAGCCTCATCCCACATTAATCAACAACACTGCAAGGGCGAGTGGGAGGGGAGTAGGGGGAGACAGAGGGGGCAGCTACACCACACGCTGTCTTCTGATCTAACACCTTTCCTGCCTGGTTACCTTTTTATCTTTACAAACCCACCAATATTCTCTTCCCTTCTCTATCTTGTTATTCACCCCTCACCTTGTGTTGCTACTATGAACACAAGCAAACACATGCATAAACAGAAAAAACAGGGGCAGACACCTTGGCAGCAATGCCACAGTCCTCTCCCTCGGCACTACACAGCACCAAACTCTTCCTCTATTCATCCTCCCTTCGTCTCTACTGCCCTCATCCCTTTCTCCTCCTCTCCTGCCAGCCTTAATTCCTCCCCCCCTCTATTGCTCCCACCACTCCGCCATCTTCCCCTCTGTTGCTTTCTCCCTCTGTCACTCCCTTGCTGTGTCGTAATAATAAACACCCCATCCAGCTGGGCTGATGTACGACTTGAATCAGTTTCATCGCCTGTTGCCGGGCGAAGCGGGGGGAATCTGTGGGGAGGCTTGAAGGCAGTGGGTCCCAGGTGATGCATCTTCTACTTGATACTAGTGGACCTATTTGTACTGGGCAATTCCATCTGTGCATTTGAAATATGATTAATGCACACTGAGGGGGTTTAGGTTTATCAACAGGGTGAACAAAAAACACACATGCCTTTCTTTACTAAAGCTATTTCAGAAGATGTATATACTATTGTAAAGAATGACATTAAAACAAAGTGTAAAAGGTAATTCATTCATGTACAATGTGTGTTCTCCAATATAGTTCAAATAGTTAAGAATAATTGAGAAGTTGAGGGTCAAATAAATGTAGGACCTAAAATAAGGTATTTATTTTGACAGCTGCAAAGACTACACTTCATTGCTCTCGTGAAAAAGTAGTCAGGAAATGGTTCATCTTCCAAAGGCTCAGAAACAGGTTGCAGAGAATTGGGCCATGAGTATTAATCTCCCAGGGAGATGTGCACTCGTTTGGATTTCACATCCACTCCTGGCCCAGGTGTGAACTTGGGCACTTGACCTTTATCGAGGGAGAAAGTTGTGCAGGTGGAGATATGGGTTGCATAAAAATACATCTATTCAATACAGCAAATTGTAGGATATTAATCTGAAATCTATCAACTTGCCACAAATGCTTTTCTTTAAATCAAGATTTTCTTTAACTTTCAGTGGCTGCCCTTTCTGACACAAACAAATGTTATGCATTTAGCTTTTTGCATTTTACCGTCCTTACCCATGAGAATAACAAGGAAACAGATTCAAGTTAACAATTAATAAGTGGGACACTGGCTCAGTCTACACTAAATGTGTCCAGAGTGAGTTTTCACAAAACCTTCAGCAATGATAAATAAATCCCCAAAAAAAGCAGAATGTGTCCCTCACCCTGAGCGAAGAAGCTGATGCTGAACCAATTATTACTCTCCTGATGGGCATGTTTTGGAACTACATTATGTTTGTCTAATTAATTAGCATATAGCCTATGGAAAACACTATTGAGTTGTTGTAGTAATTAATTCATCTAGATACACAGTACCCCGAGCCAAGGTTACCGTGCATTTGTCTGCTAAGCTACAATAGATCCCCACAGAATAGTGTGTTTTAAAGGCAGTGCTGATGAAGTGTGACAGCACTACAGTTCATTTCCCATTACTTTGAGTTGTGCTTCTACAAAGCTGAAGCACTTCTTTCTTTTCTGGAGCCAGTAGAGTTGACAGCCTAATAAGGTTTTCCTGGTAAACAAGGTTAAAAAATCCTATCTGGCTGTTAAAACATCACATTTATTTATGTTAATGTTAAAAATGTTGTGTTTTACCTTGGCAGATTTATGGGTTGCTATTGCCCATTTTTAAAATATTTGATATTGCTTCTGACAAGGCTAACACCATGCACTTGGCTGTTGTTTGGCGGGTTGACAGGAGACGGAGTTTTGTGTTTATCTGCGGCATGGCTGGGAGTGGCTTCCTCTGTTCAAAAGGCAGGAATAGATTGGTGACAGCCAGCCAAGCCCAGTAGACAGAGGTCAATGCCTTGGTGAAATCAACTTAGGAGACAGAGGGGTGGGGGTAGTAGCGTGAGAGATATGCGAGTGTGTGGTTTGGATGTGTTAGAAGAGGAGGGACTGTTTGTGTTAGGTAGCTGATACAGAAGCTGCTGACAATTCAAACTAAACCCAGTTCCCCCAGTGCTCAGTACACCTAGACGCTCTAATTCACTGGACGCACCTGACCTTCAGCCTCCATGTCCTTTATGATTTACACAAGCTAATCTATAACTACAGTCTCCTCTGTCTAATGACTATATACATCATTAAACCAGTGTGCCTCCATGTATTATCCTCCTATGATTTCTCGAGTAACAGAAGGAATGAGAAATGGAGAAATGTGCTGTTGCTGGTGGTTCTGTGTTTGTTGTAAAAGGTCACTTGTAATTTTCTCTGCCAAATCAGCCTCAACAATTTCTCTGGCAGGCTTTTCCAGCATTGCGCTGGAGTGTGTGTGACCTTTTTAGTGGGCAGATGATAACCGTTTCCGCCGAGACAGGAATAGAAAACAAAATGACCTGTTTAGAAACCAGAAAGGGCGGCGTAAGCAGTTTGCAGCCTTGGCAAGCTTCGCTCGTCTTTGTCAGGAGAGAGGGAAAAGTGAGGAAGCAGGGAAGTCAAGTATGAGAGAGATAGAGACAGAGAAATCGAAGAAAAATGACCATGTGTTGTAAACTGAGTAGGTAAACAGTGTGTTCAGTAATCTTTGTGACCTCAGCCTCTGGCCAGTTCAGTGAGGCTTTTCTTCTCTCTGTCTCTCTTTGTGGCTTTTGTATGCCTCTCTGGCCTTTAGACGGGGTAAGAGAGTGTCCTAAGGCAAGCTGGGGACAATAAGCCAAACCATGGTGGGATGATACTGACCTTTCACCCACATCTGATCTGCCGCCATGCCCTGGAATAGCACTGTACCAAAACTGGGCGCAAGACAAGAAAATCTTGTTTAAATTCCAATTCACAAAGATCATCCCACTAAGACCTAAACTGCTCCAGAAGCGCTTCCTAAACAAAGGACAAGGCCTCAAAATAGCTCATGAAATGGGAATAGTTAGTGACTGAATACCACAATTAGCTGTAGATTTGGAGGAACTGCACTCTAAGTGCTAAAAACAGACTTTGTACATTGTGTAGGTGTGGACACTAAACCCCCCGAAAATATAGGAACAAGACTTGCCAAAGAAAAAGCTCCAAGCAAAAGCCAAAGTTGAGGCTGCAAATTATAAAATAATGACCGCCGTACAATATATTATTTAAAAACTACTGTGGTTTAGTAAAACATTCTCACGTTCCCCGCTCAGGGCCATGTGCTCACCCACTTTTACTCTGCCCATTTAATTCGTCTTCACAGCAAAAGCACAAACTTAAGAAATGGGGGCAGGGGAAAGCACAGCAGTATATAAGTTTAAAGATCTATCTTGAGGGTTTTTTAAAATATGTTTTCATTCCTGTACAGTTGAAGAACAAAGGATGGCAGGAGAAAAGCAAATCCACATCCACCCATACTGTGGAACATTTTGCTCTGGAAAATGTCAGTTTTTGTTAATCTCACTTAGTGACAGTTTCCCAGATACTCCCAGATGCGCTGCTCTGACAGCTCTCAGAAAAACACCAAAGGTTTTTAGCTAAGGTCAGAGATAGACGGACACATTCCTCCTTTAGATCCTTTCCCCTTCATCTGGGAACCAACCTTTCCTGCCTAAGTTGTATTCCAAGTCCATTGTTTTGTTTGACAACACTAAATTGTCTTGACCTCTTGTTGACCTTTCACCTCTTTTGTGACCCTAGCTGGACACCCTGGAGGCACTGGGAGAGGAGATCAGTGGGATGGCACGCTGCCCATATGACGCCAAGCACGCCAATGTCGCCCTCTTTGCAGGTAAGATTAAATCGGACATGACAAATTAACAATGAACTTATCTGGGAGACTTTGAAGTACTTGATTATGTTTTACAATGTCTTTTTGAAGTCCTTTCCTGTCGCTGAAAGTGAGAGTTTCCATGAGGTGAAAATAGACGTAGTATTTATGATAGTAGTTCTACTTACTGACGGCCATGAGGCAAAAACATGAATCTAATGTTTCTCCTTTCTGCATTTATTAAACATTGGAACATGTTAGAGCTAGATGGGAAATTTGAGTCAAGGGGATTAGTTGTGGTTGTATTACATATTGTTTTTAATACCCTGTGGTTTATTCTAACGGCAAAACCCTGACAACATGTCAGGTATGGAAGGCAAACCAAGTTTCATGCACTAGAGCAAATCAACGACCTGGAGATCACATTTGATCTGCATCAAGAATTCAAAGCTTTTTTGAACCTTTTGGAAACATGTTAGTAGTACTCTGGTAACAGCAAATACAGAAACATCCTTCTCCTGCTTTTACTGCACTTTTTCTCTTTTGTTAACTTTCTTTTCAAATGCACAAGATCTAAACTAAGTCCCAAACGGATGGGACAAGAATGAGTCAGCTTTCTGTTGGTGTGGCGAGATTCCTCTGATTCAACGCAGGCTGCTAAAGACATTCAGTCCCATTCGTATTTGCTGTGAACCGATTTATGGCGGTATTGATGAGCTGTCCCTGCCTGTTTAAAGCCTAGGAGGAAAGTGAACGCCTAGCTTGACCAGTTAATGTCTAGCAGAGCTGCTTGGAAGGAGCTGGAAGCACTGAGTAATCAAGAGGGTTCCTCTGACTGCTATCCTTTCAATTATGTAGTTTAAGTTTCCACTGTGGTTATAGCCAATGCAGGCTGAGGTCATGCTGGTCGTGGATTGTGTTTGTGGAGCATGTGTGTATACGTGCCTATAACTGTGGGTTTCTGTGGGACTCTGAGACTATGTGTGAATGCAAGGCTTCAGTGTTAGTGTGTGCTTTTTAAGTGTGTTTGCAAGATGTTTAAGTGTGTGTACAGCCTCGTTGTTGTCCATCAGAGAGTCTCTTCGGTTTGTATGATTCATTAATTTTCTAGGTCTAAGCCATCTGAAACGTGTTTGTGTATCCAGCCACAGTGAGCAAGATTCTTTAAGTGGCTTTATGTGTTTTTCTTTTCACTAAACTTACCTCTCTACTCCTTTATCCTCTTTCTTTATGGCTTCCTCTTCCATTCTCACTTCATTCTTCTGCCCTCTATATCTCCATATTTTCCTCTTATCGCCCTTTGTGTTCCCTCTCCAGGTGGCAGGCTGTACTCGGCCACCGTAACGGACTTCCTAGCGATCGATTCGGTCATCTATCGTAGCCTGGGAGACAGTCCGACTCTGCGCACTGTCAAACACGACTCCAAATGGCTGAAAGGTGAGTAAGGGACACATAAACAAAGTCTCTCGGTTTGGATAGCAACAAGCTGAATGACAAGCTAGAAAACAGACTTTTGTTTTGACATGCATGCCTGACCATGTGGTGTGATTTATGATTTGTGTGTCTCGGTGTATAAATCTAGGTATGAAGAGCTGGAGCGCTTATGCTGATTGCGCTCGCTCTGTTTGACACTGTCATTTTGCCAGCCTGCAGTGGTAGTTGATGTAGCCAGGAAATTGCTCTGCCCTGGGGAGAAACAAGCACAAGTCCAGCCTGTCAAAACTCAATAGAGAGATCCCTCTTTTCTTACATGCAAATTGATGCTCTGATATGATGGATGATAGATAGAGGCACTCAAGGCTCACAGTCGGTGCTTTTCTGCATAATATGACAGATATTCTGCCTGTTTACTGTGAAACATGGTGTCAGAACTGGTTTGTCACGGTGACGACGTCTCTTTGTCACACATTTCATTTATCTATTCTTCCCCCTGCAGAGCCTTACTTTATCCAGGCAGTCGATTACGGGGACTTCATCTACTTCTTCTACCGGGAAATTGCTATGGAGTACAACACAATGGGAAAGGTAAGCACAGGCACTATTCTTCAGCTATTGTTTGAAATGTAATCAGAGGTGACTTCCTATTTACCAAGAGAATGAGGGAGTGCCCGAGGAAACTAACAGGATATGGGTGTATCACATAAGTGGAAGAAGGCTTTCAGGAGCTGAAAGGTGGCCAAACATTTTTCAGATACAGATTTCAGATAAGCACTGGTCAGGATGCAGGACCTAAAATAGATCTAAAGAGAAAAATCCGTGGATGTCGGCAGATCCTATTTTGAAGTCTAAAAATAACGCTTAAATTGCACATCCGCATCCGTCGGCCGCAGCTCCCATTTGACCTATCGTCTCAAAGTTTCCCAAGAGGAACTCGACCCAAGAGTCTGTGAGAAATGAGACGGATCAGAAGAGGAAAGGTTGAGGAAAAAACTGGCTTTTCCTCAGGTGAAACAGTTACAGTTCTATTCATCTTCTCAATGCAGTTTGGATGCCCTGAGAAAGTTTAATTGGATACCAGGTATGAGAAAATCCGCTATGGAAATGAATTACTCAATATGTATTCTTTGGAAAAAAATTATGGAACCACACAAGAGAGGAAAGTCGGAGAAAGAGAGAGGACAAGAACAGAGCAGAGGTAACGAGAAACACAGAAATAATGGATTCACTGCCAGAAGTGACAGGCATGTGTTATACAGAGCATGAATACAGATCAGGCCTCTCAATCTGCTGGGTGTTTTGAAAGCTATGTCAGTATAATTATGCGTGTGGTTGTAGAACTGAATGTGCAGAGAGTAATTTAACATTTAGTGAGTGATATCTCTGCATTATTATTAAGTAAATTGGCCTTCCCTGACATTGTAAGCAGCCGTTTGTGCTTTATGGCAAATTGATCTTTCTTCTGTGGCAGGTTAGTGTTTGCTTAAGTTTTTATGTTGGATTGTTATTGGGAAAACGCAGAAGGACAAATATGTAATTACATTAACAAGTAATGAAATTAGCAAGCCTTGGCTGAAGTATTTGTGCAGTGTGTGTGACCTGTTTATTTGTACGTTTTGTGTGTGTGTGAGAACATGAACTGGTATATGTAAAGCTGAAACTATTCCACATTCAGCTTGACAGTCTCGCCTGCTTTGTGTAAAACTTGTTCTGGTATCTCAACGCTCTATAATCTCACAGTGAACAGGCCCATGTAAGCGTGTGTCTTTGACAGCGTGATTGAATGAATATGTGCTTTTCTGGAACATTTATGCATTGGTTGCCTGGGTGAGGGTGTGTTTATGTGTGGTCTGCAGCCGTGTGCAGAGATCTGGTTTAAATGCATGTTCGCTCTTATTCGCACTGTTTACTTTACAGCACAATGTCAGGTCAGGGTTAGATTTATTGCTGTTAAGTATAGTGTGACATACACTAATTACAATACTGACTGTGTGATCATACAGCAAAGATGTAATTACAGCATAGCTCCTATTTGAAGCTGTATACTTTTACATTTTCTGTTGCCAGGTGCTGACTCGTTAACTGCATATCAAACACACTAATTTACTCTTCTGTGTCTAATTTGCAATAAAGTGTTAAAATGTTGGATTAAGACACTGAGTGTTGACGACTAAAGAGGCACAATAGTGTGTTTTGTTGGGAATTAACTGTGTGTGTGTGTGTGTGTGTGTGTGTGTGTGTGTGTGTGTGTGTGTGTGTGTGTGTGTGCGCAGTTGTCCGCGAAATTCCGCTCCTCTGTTTTCATAACTGTCAAAGCTGGAGACTGAAGTTCCCACTGTGGGTCAAAATAATGCGCTGTGACCCCAAGGTAACTGTCATTACCGAGTGAAATCCAATAGTCTCCGGTGAGTCTTTCTTAAATCCTCCTCTACTTTCGCTTTTTGGACTTCATACAAGTTGTGTATTTTCGACACAGTGGTGGCTCTGGAAGGCAATTCATAAGTGCAGTCGTTGGATGCGACCCAAATTATATCACGCAGCCCCTCCTCGTCCACAATGTTAATTGGCCTGCAAGCTGTCGCCACCCATTTTGCGATCTTGTTAAAGGTTTGCTGCTCGTAGACGTGTCCGGGCATCTCCCCCGCGCACTTTCAAGTGTGTTCTGCTGCAAGCGGGCGGCAGGAGCAGGGCTGTCAGCATCAGCAGTGTGCTTGGAATATATAGATGGTATTTTAAACTCGATGCGCTCTGAAACTACGGGGCGGCTGAGGACAAAAAATGCACATGCGTTAATCGCGTTAAAATAATTAGTGGCGTTAATTTTTTTTTGCGTTAATGCGTTATTAACGCGTTAACTTGACAGCCCTAATTATAACACATATAATGAGACGTTCTGCAGTAAGGAGGGGCATTTCACAGACGACAGGTGTTCTTACTTTTATTTAGTTGACGGAACATTTTTACTTTACACGACACTGTTCAAGACTCTTTAACTAAACAACCGCGGATGTCTTGAAAGACACTTTCGCTTGTGACACGTAAATACTACGCTTCCTATGTTTTGGTGCAGACAGCGTTCACACCAGCAATAAACCGCTCCAGGGTTCGCAAGCCAGTGCTCCGAGACCACCTATTTCAGCAGAATGGTTTTTTAGTTCACTTAAGAGGTCTCGGATTGTGTTCACACCGACCCAAATGAACCGCACCAAGCGGCTAAATGCACCAGGGTTCGATTCAACCGGACTATACAAGGCAGGTGTGAAGGCACCCTTAGACTCAGTTAACTATCTAAACACTCAAGAGTCCTTTACCTCACCTGAGCTGAGGTTATCCCGAGCTGTAGTTATTAGTCTCTCAGTCTGACAGGAGAGGACTCTCCTCCACCTTGTTGACAGCTCATTATATCCGTTAGCGCTGCTAGCTAGTACCAGATGCTAACAACAATAACACGTAACCGGTGCGCACGCTTGGACTCGAGTCAGACTCGAGTCATGAATTTGATGACTTTAGACTCGACTTGACAAAATCTAAAAAGACTTGCAACTCGACTTGGACTTTAACATCAGTGACTCGTGACTTCACTTGGACTTGACCCTTTTGACTTGAAAAGACTTGCTACTTTCCCGTACCAAAATGTATGACGGTAAAGAAAAAAAAACTCGTGGAGTATACAAATATCGTGGTTTTGCTATTTGAATGGACAACCAATATAAAAACGGTGACTGCGACCGTCAAAACAAAACCAAGCGAGAGTACAACAGGACATGAAACCTTAAAACCCAACACTACGACATCTAGCTCTTGTGCACCCTGTATAAAACTACCTCACCAGCCACGGCGTGGATGTCTACGTGTGTACCACCGTTTCCGCTTCCTTGCAGGCAACAGTCTGTATGAAAAAATAGACNCCTCCCGAGCTTGAATGACACACAGAGACTAATCGAGGGCATTAGTGTATGATTTGTATGAAAGTGGCCATGTCACTCATCATGTAGTCACCCTCTGTGAGGCAGAGTCAGACCCACATTTCTGCAGCGTTGCGTTCACAATACATAAAAAAAATATTTCTTCAGGCCAGCAGGCCACTTAACAGGCCAGGCCATCGGGAAACCTCCCGGTCCTCCCGATGGCCAGTCCGGGCCTGGTGTACTGGCAATGTGTGGGGAATACCGCAAAAATGAACAATAGGTTTATTGATATATTTTTGTATCAATAGTCATTAACTTTTTCTTTGGACAAAACAGACTCTACATTAGCAAACGTTTACTCTGTGTTAACGTTATTTTGGTGTGTAAAAGTGAGATTACATGTGTAGATGATTCAATTGATCATTTATTCGTCCCACAACGGAAACATTTACAGTGGCTATNAGTACTTTTTTGTAGCGTGTCACACAATATCAAACATGCCTGGCCTCAGCCTCTCAGCGACTTTGTTTGTTTCCTGCTGTCGCTATAATACCTTTAGTTAAGCTACTTTACTGATCTGGATTAATGATGTGAAATATAATCAAGTCTTAAATCAGACTTGATAAATATAAATAATAGATCAAACATATCATATATATTATTCTGAAATGGACCAATCTGCAAAACTTTTACCTTTGGTACTTTAACTATATTTTGATAATACTTTTCTAATTTTACTTGAGTAACATTTTGAATGCAGGACTTTTACTGTAACAGAGTATTCCTACGCAAGATCTGAGTACTTCTTCCACCTCTGTCTGATTTCAAACTCTTCCATTAACACCCCGAGTAAGTTTGTTGTCAATAAAACTGCAGCAGCTTGACCACAGAGCGTGAACGTTGTGATCAGCTGATTTTGTGCAGTTCTCGAGTGTGTGCGCGGATCACTGGATCACGTCCAGTGATCTAAGCCTCTGCCTCCTGTAAGCTTCAGGTCCGTCGGTTATGGCCTGCGCGGCTCGCCCAGCTCCAGTTCAATCAGTCATAGAAAGTCCGAAGATTTTTTGCAGGGAGCGAAACGGCAACGTAGCTGCTTAATGTCTTTGTTTTTTGTTACATGTAGTAGTTTACTCCATTGAGTGTTGACAAGAAACACGTGTAGACGAAATATGTGTTTTGTTTTGATGTTTTGAGGTACGCAAAGGCGCTTAATGACACATGTGACGTTACGTAATTCAGATTTGTGCCTGCGTATGTGCACCCCTGGGTATATACCTACACATTGGTGGGTTTTCAGCAAATAGTTGTTTTTAGGGATCAACCGATTGTAGAAGAGAGCCTATTGGTTAGTTATTTGATTTTGAAAGAAAACATGACACATCTTCTTATCCTATCTACCATTTCATTTTCTTTAATTATCTCTTTAAATGTTTTATAACACTGGCAATCAAAAATAACAGCGATCTAGAGGACTATAGTGGTTTTGATAACAGAAGCTCCAAGGACTGTGTCAATGGGATTTGATTCCAGCGAAATAATGCAATCTCAAGGACGAAGACATTCACTGTCTTTCCTATTCAGGATAATAGAAATCTCAAGAGGGGGATTCATTGTGCCCAGCCAGCTGAGGCCTCTGCCTCAGCACAGCATGTCTCAGGACAGAAAAGCTTTTTCAAATTTGCAGTAAAAGCTCTTGCAGGATATCAGGGGGTTCTCTCTAGGGTGAAACAAGGATCAAAGCCTATACTGATTTTGTTTCCAGTTGACTTCAGCTCAAGAATGGTCTTACAGTACGACAGCACTGTGACATATGTCATAAAAGTCCTAACTCCTCTTCCAACCCTGTATGCCTTCATAAGGTTTTTTAGCTTATGTAATGCTTCTAACTAGTGCTTCCGACTTGCGTGAAAGGCTCTGCTCATCATCAAGTAGTAGTAGTATGATTGCCGATTATGTAAAGACAGAAACAATGCGTTATTTATAACATGGTTTTTATGATATAGTGCACTAATGAACAGAGAGTTTTCGGGATAACCTTGATGAAAGCTGTTCCTATTCTGACTAAGGCAGTGCAGTATGTAGGTCAGACCTCAGCAAAGTGGCAGCAAGATGTGATACCATGCAAATTATTTGTAAAACCTATGAAGAAGTCTTTATGTAACTCATCTTTTAAGGGATGTTAACACCACTGAGGCCTGTCAAAGGCATAGCAAGCAGTCCTGACCCTAAACCTTCAGTAGCTACAATTCAGAACCAGGACCAATTTAAAGCTGGATTCTTTTACTTTTTACCAAATGCTCTGTCAGCTAGTTTTGCCTTGCCAATGGAATGGCAGTGTGCTGTCGTATTCCCACAGAGGCTGGCTGAAATGTCTCTGTGTAGTGTAGCAAAAAGCCAGACAGACCTTTGTGATCAAACGGCATCAGCCACAGTGCACTGGCTTTTGGGAAAGGGGCTCAACTCCAGAAACTCAGGAGACAAGCCAACCACAGAACAAAAAAAATCATCTCTTTGAAATATCCTCTGAGGATTCAAACAGGCAATTTGTTACAAAGACTGAACATTGAAATTGTCTTTAAAATAGGTGCTTGTATTAAACATTTAAAAACATAATTAAGAATTGATATAGTTTACTCCGTTTTGATCACATCACTATGCGGCCAACTTGGGAGAGAGATAGTAACATGAAGATCAGTGTTTCTTCTACTCCAGCAAAAATAGGTCAGCGGCTGGTTAATGGTGGAGTACCACAGTGTTTTAATGAGCTTGACTCTCAAAGCAGCACTTCACGTAATTATTGTCCTGGGTTGAAGAGGCTCATAGACCTCTGATGACAATGATCTTTGGAGTGTGTAACACTTACCGGACCATGGTCTTAAGGAACCAGGGCCTGTTGGCAATTGAGGGCACAGCCTCGTCCATCAGAGGATGCTGTTTGATGAAGTTGAGTGTGTCATCGGGGAACTCATTGGATACCTTGTACCTCTCCATGGATGGAATGCCTGCACAATTGCCGGGCC